CGGGCTCAGGCAATCCACTCACCTCGGCCTCCCAAAGGCGCGGGATTACAGGCTGAGCCACCGAGCCCGGCCGAGTTATGCCTTTTAATCCACTCTATCAACCTGTGTCTTTTAATAGGTATGGACCTATTAGACCATTACATTTAGGGATTAAGCCTTCCATTTTATTTTAGTGTTTTGCTTTTATCTGTCTGTTTTCTTTTTCCTGCCTTCCTGAGGATTACTTGAACACCTTTTAGTAACAAACTTTTAAAGAACAGTTTTAGATTTACAGAAAACTTGTGAAAATAGTATAGGAAGTCGTGGACATAACACTGCCATCCCAGTAAACCCAGAAGGCAGAGCAGCAAACCAAAGAGGATTATTCTTGAGTCTTAAGACCTAACGAAATTTTCCGTGCTAAGGTTTGGACTTGCTTGGAACCCATCACTCCTCCCTCTCTTTTGATTTCTCCCTTTTGGAATGGAAATGTCTGGCCTATGCCTGTCGGCCCTTGCGTTTTAGAAGCACATGCCGGTGGATTCAGAGTCGTCACACTCAGGGATCTATCGCAGAAACATAGAACAGAATACCGCATGTTCTCATCCATGAGTGGGTCCTGGACATTGATCACAGTGCGACTGGAGAGAGATCAGCAGTAGTGGGACACTGCCAGGGGTGGGAGGAGGGGACACGTCACATCACTCAGGGTGCCTGACCCTAAACCGGGGGCAGGGAGGACCAGTCGGAGGCCCAGACTTCTCCTACACGTGGACCACTTATGTCCCGAATCCTGCCGTGTACCCCATGTTTATAACAAAGAAAGAAAACCTTTAAAATTGTAACAGAAATGCACATACCTTGCCTGATTTCACAGGAGATTTTGGATCATTAGACTTCAGAGTTGATGCTGGATTGAGTTAAGACTTTAGGGGCCGCTGGGATGGAATGAATGTATTTCTCACGTGAGAAGGACATACGTTTAGAGGGGTGGCAGTGGCAGAATACTATGGATTGAATGGTGTCTCCCTCAGATTCATGTGTTAAGCCCTAACCCCAGCGTGATGGTATTTTGACATGTGGCCTAAGGAGGTGATTAGGTTTTGAGAGTGGAGCCCTCAGAATGGGATGCCCTTGTAAGAAGAGACACCATTTGGGAGGCTGAGGTGAGTGGATGGCCTGAGCCCGCGGGTTCGAGACCCGCTTGGGCGTCGAGACCTCATCTCTACAATAAATCAAAAAATCAGCCGGGCGTGGTAGCGCATGCCTGTAATTCCGGCTACTGGGAAGGATGAGGCGTGAAGGATCGCCGGAGCCCAGCAGGTCGAGGCTGCGGTGGCCGGGAGCGGCCACTGCACTCCAGTCCAGGCGACAGAGTGACTCCAACTCAAAAAAAAAAAAAAAAAAAAAGAAGAGACACCAGAGAACTTGCTCTTGCCCCCTCTCTCTGCCACGTGAGGAGACAGGAAAAAGGCTGTCTGCAAGCCAGGAGGCGATCACTCTCCGGAACCTGACCACGCTAACACTCTAAAATCAGAACTGTGAAAAATAAACTTCTGCTGTTTAAGCCACCCAGTCTATGGCTTTTTGTGTGTGTGAGCCTTTCACTGAGGCAGGAGTGCAGCAGCATGATCACGACAATCACAGCCTAGACCTTCTGGGCTCAGGCGATCCGTGCACCTCAGCGTCCTGAATAGCTGGGATTACAGGCACGGCCACCAGGCCAGCCAATTTTTTATTTTTATTTATTTATTTTAATTAATTTATTTTTTGAGTTGGAGTCTCACTCTGTTGCCCAGACTGGAGTGCAGTGGCATGCTCCCGGTCACTGCAGCCTCGACCTGCTGGGCTCCGGCGATCCTTCCACCTCAGCCTTCCAAGTAGCCGGAATTACAGGCATGCGCTACCACGCCCGGTTGATTTTTTTTTCACTTATTGTAGAGATGAGGGGTCACCAAATTGCCCAGGCTGGTCTCAAACTGGCGAGTTCAGGCAGCCCACTCGCCTCGGCCTCCCAAAGTGCTGGGATTACAGGCTGAGCCACCGAGCCCGCCCTGTTTTTTTATTTTTTGACTGGTCTCAAACTTCCAGGCTCAAGCAATCTGCCCCCCTTGGCCTCCCAAAGTGCTGGGATTACAGGTATGAGCCATTGTGTAATTCTGTCACTTTTAATGGAAGTAAAAAGAAGTATCTTCTATGTGGATCTATAATGATACTATTTAAGAATCATGAATTTAGCCAGGCTCAGTGGCTCAGCCTGTAATCCCAACACTTTGAGAGGCTGAGGTGAGTGAACTGCCTGAGCCCACGGGTTCGAGACCCGCCTGGGCAACTTGGTGAGACCTCATCTCTACAATAAAATAAAATAAAAATTAGCTGGTCGTGGTAGCGCGTGCCTGTAGTTCCAGCTACTTGGAAGGCTGAGGCGGAAGGATCGCCGGAGCCCAGCAGGTCGAGGCTGCGGTGGCCGGGAGCGGCCACTGCACTCCAGTCTGGGTGACAAGTGAGACTCCAACTCAAAAAAAAAAAAAAAAAGATTCATGGATTTTATAATAGCAATTTTTCTAAAACTCATTAAAATGAGTCAGTGCATATCAAAACATTCAAATCAATGTATCACCCAAAGCCATTCCCTGCCACAAGCATCTGGCGTAGGGAAACGCAGGACAAGAGCGCCACTGAGTTTCTGCCAACCCGGGCCCTCGAGGACCCCAGAGTTTACTAGGAGCAGGTCTCTGACACCAAAGGGGGTTGCATTCGTGGTGATTCCCTCCCTAAATGGGAAGTCAGGCAACCCTACCTGTAATCCAGAAGGATCCCTGGTTTCTCAGAATCATGACCTGGTTAGAATATTTCCAGCTGAAGGACATGCTCTTCTTCGGGGAACCCTGACAGGGCAGCTCCCCTGTTTCCCCTTTTTTGGCCAACACCACCTCCTTTCCCTCGGTGACTGCTGTGAGTAGTCCTGGGCAGAAAAGAAGGAAGTCAGGGCTCGGTGCTGTCGCTGCCCCCTCTGCCGACACCCCACCTGGCCCTCTTCCCCCCGGCACGCCCTCCCACATCATCTTCATTGGGACTCCAGGTCTGAGAACTTACCCAGTTGCAGCACAAGGAGCAGGTGCCGAAGAAAGAGTCCCCGGTTCATCGCGGCCTTGCTGAGGAAGGCAGGGGCCTGAGCCATCAGGGACCCAGCGGCAGAAATGGCAGGGCCTGAGGGAGATGCCAGTCACTAGTCTGCAGGCCTTTCCCAGGCCTAGGGCTTACAGAGATGGTATGCCATCTCCCCCTGGACCCTGGCAGCCAGCCCATGAACTGGACTTGAAAACCACTAACCAGAGCCGGGCTCGGTGGCTCAGCCTGTAATCCCGCGCCTTTGGGAGGCTGAGGTGAGTGGATTGCCTGAGCCCGCGGGTTCGAGACCCGCCTGGGCAGCGAGACCTCATCTTTACAATAAATCAAAAAATCAGCTGGGCGTGGTAGCGCATGCCTGTAATTCCGGCTACTTGGAAGGCTGAGGTGGAAGGATCACTGGAGCCCAGCAGGTTGAGGTTGC